GAAGCAGGAACATAGCAAGAATATAACGCTGACATTATTATCTGTGACTTATCTGTGACTCTTAAAACTGGAACATTTTGGGAAAGGATGGGTCTAGATATTCTCTGGACTTAAGGGACTGAGTGGTACCAATGACAGTATAATCTCAAGTGTCCATTCTTCCGTACTTCAGGTCCTAAAGTATGCAAGTCTGGCCACTTACACCTTATTTTGAAGTCTTGCCTTCTTCAGATAGGCTTCCAGGCACAGTTTTGATGTATTCTATTTTCATCTTTTGCACTAGACTTTCTCAAAAGCCTGTCTCTGTCTAACTGCCCGTTAATTTCAACCTAACTTAGTTACCTATAATAGCATGACAGTCACTATCCAGGGTTGCATGATTATAAAAATCCAGTTTCCTACACATCCTATACCCAGCTAGTTTGACAGATTTATCTTGCCTGCTTGGTCCCTATAGGTAATTTGGTTTGTAGCTTATCAGTTACGATAGTTGCCCAGAGTCATAGCTATAGCTAGTGATAGATTTGGGTAAGGGCTCATATCAAAATTGAAAGTTGATAGGCACTAGCAAGACAAATTTAAAGGGGCCAGGACCTACAAGTACCCCTGGTCTAAAATTACTCTTGAACCAAATTGAAATGAGCTTTGATAAGTATGATAAAGAAATATATTTTAAAGTAATCATGAGGGATCATGAAATTAAGAATATCATGACAGTCTTGTGGCAAAACACTATGGACACCAGAAAATTTTGGTATGAAGAAGCCAGATCCTAGCCCTAAGGATTGCAGTCAGAAGACTCCTGTTTGGGAGGGTGGAGCACTGATCCTAGGACAGGATTCACAGGGAGCTGGAATGTCAGGAGAGATCTAAGATTAGGAGAATAATACGATGACTCAGTCACATTGCTAGAGATGGGACCTACATTCAGAGCAGATGCAGGAAGTGCTTGACTAACGGCAGTCGCCTAGGCTGTATAAGTTCTTCGCTGCCAAGGTCCTGAGAGCTTGAGGGGCAGAGCCCGAGGTGTCAGATACTTAGTGAGGTGTGAGGTGTGTCCCAGGGTCGGTAAACCCGGCCAGTGAAGACATTCCTTGCCCAGTTTCCACTGCCAGGCACACCGCCCACTATTTCTCTTTCACTTGTGAACTCAGCCTTCACATAATTTTAAAAACCGACTTAACCTTGAATCTTCGCTATGTCTGTCCTCATATTTATAAATACCAAAGCTAGAACAGAACAAGAGGAGAATTCTGATAACTCTGCAGCTTGGCAGTGGGTGAAAACATGAGCCCACAGTGCTGTCAAGTACCCTGTGAAACAAGAATGGCACTTGTCAGCTGCCACTTGTAGCGGGCACTAGGACTGACGGAATAGCCCAACTGTACACAGAGCAGGGAGGGCAGAGTGACAGCTATGGAGACAGATGGCAAAAGACTTGTGTCTGCCACCTACAGATAACAAAGTTGCATTGAAATCTCTTCCAAGGTGACCTTCTTAGGTAACTGTGCCTCATTATGAACTGCTAGTTTCTATAGCAGGTTCCTTTCTGTTCCGTTGTGAGAGAGATAACTCAGTTAATCTGGGGAAAAAATAAATACCAGAAACCTCAGCTAGTCTAGATGTATAATAATTACAAACATTTTCTGGACCCCTGCTAAGGACCAGGTGCCATGCTAGCTGCTAATGTCTCATTTACTTCTCACAGCAACCCTAAAAGCTAAGCACTATTATTATCTCTATTTGCCTTTGAGGGAACTGGGGCTTTGCAAGTGAAATAAGTTACCCAAGCACAGATCGCAGATAAGAAGTAGTCTGACTCAGAGTGGCTCTGCCTATTACAGGGACAAAAAAAACGTAAACCCTCAGCAGCGGCCCCCTCCCTAATGTGCTGCTTTTTCTAGCTCACAGCCCTGTCCACATTCTCCCTGTCCCCCTTAGCAAGAGAATCCCAAGTTCATTCAGGGTAGCAATATTAAAGACTTCCAAATAGCCACTGTGTTGGTACGTTGTGGTGATGACCTATTCAGTGGCTGCCCTTTGCCCATGCCCACTGCAATAACTAAGTTTCCCAAGCATAATGTCAACTAACATGTAATCAGTACTTACTGTGCAGTAGGTATGGTCTAAGCCCTTTGCATGGATTCTGGCATTATTCCGTTATCCAGTAGTTTCAGATGTTTACTTAAAAATTAGTGTTACAGATTTACCTGTTTTTCCATGTAAACTGCTATTTATATACTATATATAAATACTATATATATAATATGTATCAGGTGTGAATGAGAGTGAATGATAAAATTTTTAAAAAATTTATTGTAGTGAAAAACCACATTGCCATTAATCTCCCTCAAAATACTGCCCCTTGCTTGTAACACGCTCATTGTTCTTTTTCTCTAATCTTTTATTGTAATATTATATTTTGATTATATATTTTAATTCATTTGTGCTGTTTTTTTTCCCTCCAAGGTATGTTCTCACTACATTTCCCAGGCTAGTTTCAGACTCCAGGGCTCAAGGAATCCTCCTGCCTCAGCCTGCCAGGTAGCTAGGACCACAGACATAATTACCGGGCAGAGTGCTGTCAGTTTTAATGAGTGCGCGTTATTTCAGGGACCCCATTTGTAAATCAATACTAGTTTGAAACTAGTGTATGGGAGTACAGGTTTGTAATCCTGCTACTCAGAGGCTGAGGCAAGAGGATCCAACTTTCCAGGCTAGCCTGGGCAGTTTAGCAAGAATTTATTTCAAAGCTGATAAGTAAGAAGGATGGCTGGGCTTGGTGGTGCAAGCCCATAATCCCAACATTCAGGAGACTGAGATAGGAGGATAGCTACAAGTTTGAGGCCAGCCTGGACTGCATAGAGACCATATCTCAACACTCCCACGCACACCACAAAGAGCAAGGAGGGCTGACCAGAGCATTGCCTACCATGGGCAAGGCGCCAGGATGGGGGTGAGGGATTCAATCCTCAGTACAGCAAAAAACAAAACAACGATGGGGGAGGGGCAAGGGTGACAAGGGAAGTGTCAGTGTTGAGGGTGAAATTCAGTGGCAGAGTGCTTGCCTAGCACATGAGGAGGCCCTAAGTTTGATCACCAGCACCACAAGAAAAGAAACAAAAGGAGAGGAAAGGAGAAATGAACAGTTGAGTTCTGCTAAACTGGAAAACACTAGCTATGAGGAAGGTACGGAAAGGAGTTTACCAAAAGCTAAGGGAGCTGGATGTGGTAGCGCATGCCTGTAATCCCAGCACTTGGGAGGCTGAGGCAGGAGGATTCTTGCAAATTCAAAACCAGCCTGGGCTACAAAGTGAGCTCCAGGCCAGCCTGAGCTGCATAGCAAGACCCTGTCTCGAAAAGACCAAAAAAAAAAAAAAAGAAAAGTTAAGAGAAGTTAGTGACAATTATGTTAAGTATATAAAAGTTAAAAACTAAGCCATCTACTGAACTTGGCAATTAAGAAATAATCAGTGACTTCACTAAACAGGTTTTTTGTTTTTTTTTTTGCATTTTAAACAAGTTTATTTAAACAACAAGACACTTGACTTAAAGGGAAAACGATCTGGGTTGTTTTTTTTTTTTTTTTTTTTTGTCTTTTTGAGACAGATTCTCACCATGCAGTTCAGGCTGGCCTTGACTCCACTTATGCAGTGCAGGCTGGCCTCGAACTCCCAACGATCCTCCTGTCTCAGCCTCCCAAGTGCTGGGATTACAGCACTCCTGGCTCTTTTTTTTAAAGAGTAATTTACTCCTACTTAAAGACATTGCCCTACATGTAACAGCTACATACAAAAAAGTTATGAAATTGTCCTTGGTTTTACAATGATAAATGAAAAACATTAAAATTCTCCAATCAAACAAGGTATACAAGGATTTTTATGTTGTTTTCTTTTCTGTTAAAACAGTGAGAGCAAAATAACTTACTGGAATATAGAGAGAAGCTGATGAGCACGCCACAAATGGAGAAAGGGATTATTTTCACAGAACCAGTAATTCCTCATCCCATCTCCATTTGATGTCAATCAAAACATATTGTTGGCCATTTAGTAAAAAAAAAAAAGCAATATGCTTGTGCCCGCACACCAGGTACTTTATGTACAATAAAGGAATGGGGGAGGGGTCAGTGGAAAAATAGAGAAAATTATACTGTAGCAGTCAGGATGTGGTGGCACCAAATTGCAGTTTGTAACTGAGAATGTATTCTTGGTCTTAAGAACAGAGTTCTGGAGTGGGGTTGCTGCAGGTTCCCTTTGCAGTAGACACCTCCTGTCCGCCTCTGGAACACGTCCATTGCGTCTTCAGCCTCCATTTCCAGCTGTGCAGTTGTGTCGGTTTCATTGATTGGCTGTCCGTGGACGCGGAATCTGAGCCGCCTCACTGAAAAACCCCGCAGTTCACAACAGGCTTTCACTGGTTTCCTAAGCAGTGTGTGCCTCTTAATCTTTTTTTTTATTTTTTATTTTTTATTTTTTGGTTTTTCTCCGGTACCGGGAACCAAACTCACGACCTTGCGCTTGCCAGGCAGGCTCTTTGCCGCTGAGCTAAATCCCCAGCCCCCTGCCTCTTAATCTTAAACTGCACCACTGCACCACAGAAACACCCCGCCCTGCCGCCTTCGAATTAATAGGATCGGTGTCCTCTCTCTTGACTCCTTCCTTGGGCTTTTTGTGTGGACCGAACACACAAGCAGCACCAGGAGCAGCAGAAGGAGGCCGCAGTGGTGGCCTCGGGAGCCACTCAACAGTTGTAGGACTATCCTTTCAAAGCTCCTGTTTTGTTTTTGGTTTTTGAGACAGGGTCTCACCATGTAGCCCAGGCCCGCCCCTTGCCATTGCTCTTGCCCCTTTCTGAAGCCGTTCTCAGTCCTCTTTGTGAGTCTTTAGTTGCATTATCTTGTCTGCCTTGATATCCTGAATCCATTCAGAATGTTTATCTGTCACGGTTACTGTGACTTTGGGAAGAGCCAGAAGTCACAGTGCCGGGTCCGGTGAGTAAAATGAAGAGGACACACCTTGGTGTCTCCAGGCGCCCGCCTTTCCACTGGACGGCAGTGGGTTTTTTTGTTTTTTATTTTTAATTACTCTTTGTTAAGACACTAAAAGAGGCCTTCCAGAATTGTTTCAGAAAGTGACAAGAGGGATGGGCTGAGTGTGTTCCAAGCAAGGCTGAGCATTTTGAGGGGTATTAATGGCAATGTGTCTTATACTGTCATAATTTTTTAATTTAGACATAATGTATATTTTGTGTCACTTAAAGACAGGGCTCCCTTCTGAAAGGTGTGTTGGTAGGTGACTCTTTACTGTGTGAATATCATAGAGCATGCTGCACAAACTAGGTGGCTGTGACATCACTAGGCTGCAGACCTTCTGGGGCCACCATCACACATGCAGCCCGTCGTTAACCAAAGCCGTCCCTGTGCAGTGTGTGACCGACTCCTGAAGTTCACAGCAAAGCACATCTAGCCGTAATAACATGAAACCAACGTTCTTGTGAGTTTGAGGTCCTGTGAGTAGAGAGTTGTCTGACAAAGCAAGAATAAGACAGAGTACTGTTACTCTGGAGACTTTGACATAGGTAGGTTGGATTTCTGAGTCTTTCACCCTCCGTTGTATTTCTAGTCTTTCACCGGTACCCCCAGTGCCCAAGTCCTTCACTGTGATGCCCTGTAGGTTTCGTTCCACTCCTCTCAGGCTACTAATGAGTCACCCCCAATTTCACACAAAGCCTGCCTGGCTTTTTGTAGCCATTTCGGGTAGCTGTTCAAAGGGGTATGATCTGTGATTAGGAATTTGCCAAGAGGTGCAGGAGAGTCCAGGCAGCTGGGAATGGGGAGGAGGGGGACAGGCAATCCTGAGGTGCCTCAGTTTCCTCTGGCTCACTGAATCCTTCCTGCTGACCGCAGATCTTCCCAGACAACTTCCAAATTCAGAAACTCTCTAAGTTTAGTCATTTAGAAACAAAAAAAAAGCAAAGCACAGTTCCTGTGGTGATTTTAGTGGAAACTTTTAAGATAGGAAGTAGTGATTATTCTTCAGCTTAAAAGTCAGACTGATGTGTGATAAAAGGCTGAAAAGACTTAAAAATGTGTACCCTTTGACCCAGCGTTTAATGCTCAGGGGTCCATTATTAAGAAATAAGTGAATAAGTCTGTAAGACTGTTTGTCAAAGTCCTTTTTAAAATAAGGATCATTGGAGATTTTCCATTATCTCTCAAACTGTGTTATTTTAGGAAAATAACTTCTGGAAATCATTCATAAAGTATGGAGGGGTCCTTTGGGGGACCCTTATAACTACCATTTTTGAATGGGTTTTGTTGTTGTTTAGTTTGTTTATGGTGTTTGGGAGTAGCGGGACACCGAAGGCCGGTGGCTATAGGGAGTCCTCCCTAGGTTCAGGCAGTAAAGGAACAGATCTCCTCTAACAGGATTTCATGAGAAAAATAACTGGATTAATGAACTCAAAACACTGGTCTGATTTTTGTTTTTGCTGGGAGTTCCAATGTGAGTGATAAAATACTCTCCCAAAAAACAAATATTATGTGAGTTTAAATTTTAGACAACAGCTGTAGTTGCTATGGAGTTTAGGTAAATTATGTCAGTTTAAAATTAGCCTCTTTTGGGGTTGGGGATTTAGCTCAGTAGCACAGCGCCTGCCTGGCAAGCAGAAGGTCGTGAGTTCGATTCCTGGTACCAGAAAAAAAAAAAAACCCAAAAAATTAGCCTCTTTTAACAAACATTGCATTTTACCTGGAGCTCAATTGGAAGAACTCAGTTACACAGTGATTACTGCTCTCCACAGTCTGTCCTTTCTGTCCATCCTCCTGTACCCCTGCAGCAGCAGCTACAAAAGTCTTGCGAGGATCACTTCCCAAAGGTTCCAAATCATTTGAGCTTGCTTCGGGTGTAGTTTGAGTCTCCAGCCTTTTGGGTATTACATATTTCCCCATTTAAACAAATAGAGCTGAAAGAAACAGTCATGACAATTGACTAAGAACAATGAAACCAAATCTGACATGCCTCAATTCTAACAATCTCTGTGACCACTCTAAATTTTTTTTAATTTGTATTTGAATTTTAAGACAGTGACAATGAATGCGAAATGCAAAGTGTGATATTTTTGTTTGGTAAGTGCACACTTTAGTCATGCATGACACAGTTTACTGAATTTAACATCACACTTTTTAAACTGAAATGTTTTCCTCATTTTACATTGTTAATTTTAAAACTAAAGACAAACTCAGGAGAAGAATTAAAATTCCTAATTACGGCATAACTATTGCTAAGTTTAACCTTCTTATACAACAGTAAGGTGTTAAAAACTGATATGCTTCAGCTGTCAAATACACTGCATGTGGCACTGCTTGGAGAGAAAACTTAATAAGCTGAGTGTCTTAGTTCCTTTCCTCTCGTTGCTGAGACAAAATACCTTGATGCCCAGAATTAAGGGAGGAAAGGTTTATTTAGCTCACAGTTTGTGGAGGTTTCAGTCCGTAATCTGCTGGCTCCAAGGAAGGGTGGCACATGGCAGAGGGCAACAGTTCATGGCGACAGAAGACAGCAAAAGCAGCAAGAGCAAAAAGAGGCAAAAAAAGAGGAGTGAGCCTCTTTCCCTCCATTATGTTTTATGCAGGGTACCCACCCTAGAACAGATATAGCACTAGCTCTGCCAGTCCCAGTAGTAGACAATAAACCAATCACAAACTCTAGGTTCAGCTGCCTCCAAAAAGCACACCCCCATGACTGTACAAGGCTTTGGGGGACATCCAGACACAAACCATAACACCAAATGTTACTATGATTTTTCTGAGACTTGTGAAAATTGTTAGTGGGCAAACAACTTACCACTGTATGTGTGAGCTCGTCAAGAAATGAATGCTAGGGGACATGAATATATAGTCAGAAACTCGTTCCACTGGAAAAATTTGTCACTAATAATCAGAAGTGACATCCAGCTGCTATCAGGGCAGGTAGTTCTCAAAATGTTCACAAGTAACCAATGCTTTGTGAAAGACAGCAAACATGAGAGAGACATCTAATGTCTACCATTTTCACAAGCAGCTGTGACTCAGAGCTAACTATTGACAAAATCATTTGGCATCCTGGGCAAAGCACAAGTTGTGTAGAAGACTTGGACTTTGATCATAACCCTACGGAAATTACTTGCTATTAATTCAGTCAAAATGTTCCCTGAGTCTCCATTGTGTTGACACTAGGAATATAATGATGCTCAAGAGAGATATGGTCCCGGCGCCCAAAGGAAGCTACCCACCTCCTAAAAAGTAAGTAGGCAAGTAGATAAGACACTAGGTTGTTGTTTTAAGTGCCCCAAAGGGTTTTGTGCTGCCATCACAAATACCTGGGCCTGGATACTTCATAAGTAAAGAAGTTTATTTGGTTCATGAATTTTGTGGTTGGAAGTTTAAACAACACGGCACTGGCACAGTGGGAGGGGCCTCCTTGCCTCTATCATAAAATGGCAGTAGCTCAGTCACCTAAGAGCTAACTGGTTTCTGCAGTTCACTCCCATGAGACCCAATTTACTCTTCCAAAGTAGCATTCATCCAGTCATGGGCCCCCATGACCTAATTACCTTCCTGTTTTTGTTTTAAACATAAAAGAACAAAAACATATTAACAAACAAACATCCATTGACAAAATAACACAAGAACAATACAAGCAATACTGAATTTCAGACAAGGTGATAGGAAATTAACAATGGTTGTTGTATTACATATTGATATCTTCAAAGTGGTTACTCATGAAAACAAATAGAGACATGCGAGATTGATCAAATAAGTAGTCATTACCCGTTCCTTTCAATAAAGCGATAGAAGTCAGTAGCTAATTACCTTCTTCTGGGCTTGAGCTCCTAAAGCTTCCGTCACCTCACTGGGGACCAAGAGTCTAGCACAGGAACCTTTGGGGGACAAACCATATCCAAACCGTCTTCTCCAACCACGTGTTACACTTCTCCCTTGCTGGTGCTGTCAGTTCTAGCCACAGTCTTCTGCTAGTTCCACTGCGACCCAAAGCCTTCCTGTTTCAGGACCTTCGCCTCTGCTGCCCCTGTTACCATCGTCATTTGATTCCTAATTAATATACTCTTCAGTTCTCAGTAAAAGTATATGCACAGAGGCTGCCCTGACACTCACCTACCTGCATGTCCACAGGGCATCCCAGCTTGTATGCAGTCAGTGCCTAGGATAGACATGACCCCTGCACACTGGGCTGCTTCTTCTTCTTCATAACTCTCATCCCAGTTTGATTAATGATTTAACTGTGAAATCATCTGTTTAATGTCTGTACTTTCTTCTACTGCCGCTCGACCATAAGCTGCAGCAAGCCAAGTCCTCTTGTTGACTCATACCATTGAATTCCCAGGTCTTGGGGAAAGAAATATTTATAGAACGATTGAATGGAGACATGCGTAAACAAACACAGAACCAACTAAGAACCCTACTAACAGGGAAATGTGTCAAAAAACTTTTTAATGAGAAAAGCGGGGCTGTCCAAAGAACTTCCTCATTCTTAGTTTTGCTTGCCTGGCCTGGCTAGTCATATGTTGCTGTTACTTTCAATTTTTGTTTTTATAATTCTCTCTCATCTCACTTTTTAAAACTTTCTTGTGCCTCTTAAAACACATTTACCTTAATTTTTATTACATGAATTTTAGCTTGATCTTGTCTAGCTTTCCATTCCAATACTTTGCCTTTTACTTCACGAGTCCTCAGTCTTTTTTAAAATAATAAATATTTTATTCTGCTTTTACCAGCTCCTAACCTTAATTGGAACTATTATGTTCTAGTTTTAAATCTTTTTGTCTTCCTGACTTCAACTTTTCTATAGCCCTTTTCAAATCTTTTTCTTTCCTTTTTTTTTTGAGACAGCATCTTGCTGTGTAGTTTAGGCTGGTCTTGAACTCACTATGTAGCTCAGGCTGGCCTCAAACTCACAGGGATCCCCCTGTGTCAGCCTCCCAAGTGCTAGGATTATAAGCATGCGCCACCATGCTTGGCCTACTTTTTAATTAGGCACCATTTATCTCATTTTATTGTTATTAGATTGACTTATCTTTAATTTAATAATGGATTTGAGCATTTTGTAGCTATTAAACCTACCTTATTTTCCATCTTACCCAGTGTGCGCTCATCTCCCCCCCATTCTCCTCTCTCCCCTCCCCCTTTCCCTCATGGCCGCTCCCCCTTCTTTTCTACCTGTTTGCAGTGACCGGAGGCTGAGTCAAGAATGTAAACAGTGGGGAGAGTGTGCTTCATGAACACAGAAAGATGCAAATGGTCTTTCCCTACCAGCTTTCCCTGCATCAGCTTCTTGGGGCCATTGCACGAGATTACTTCTGACTTATTGAGGTTGGTTCTCCACAGCCCTCAGTCATTGCAGATTTGTTGAATTTGATTCCTTCCAGGGGAACAAGCCTCATTCTCTGCTGGAATATTTGATTTGCTGAAACAGTGTTGCCTACTAGCGGCTTTTACCATGTAGTCGTTATGTGAGTAAATTGGGGGAAACTACGTCAACTGTGCGGCCAGGAAAAGCCGAATCCGTAATAGGCTTCTCCAAGTAAAGATTCTCCAGGCCCGATCCTGCTGAGGCGCTGATCAGTCCCTCAAGAGATTCTTACAGGATGTTCCAGGCTAGAGAATCTTCAGCCAGTGTGTTGGCTTTTATTTTTTTTAATTAAAAACATTTTCTGTGTGTGGAACTGTGGATGGAACCCAGGGCCTCACACATACTAAACAAGTTGCACCCTCAGTCCTACTGTGGCCCGTTGAGACCAGCGTGCTTTCATCATTCCTGCAAGGATGCTTTGCTTCCCATCACTGCGGGCTGAAAGCAGCGAGCACCTGGCCATGGCTGGCCTGAGGGCCCGTAGAAGCAAAGGGTACAGGGTGAGGACAATCTCACATGGGTTGTTTTTTTGTTTTGTTTTGTCTTGTTTTGTTTGTGGTGCTGGAAATTCACCAAGTCGTAAAAAGAGGATCACTCCTTTCCTTGCTATAGTGTAAGACCTGCTCAGAGGAGCAGGTTTCTGGAGCTAACAAAGAACTGCTCTGCTCTCTGTTCACAGGACATGCATCTCTTTAGCATGGCAAGAAAAGTCCTTACCCTGGGGATTTTGGTTGAATTGGTGGGGTATTCACCCCAGAGAAGAGCTGGATACCACTACATGAGACAAGACAACCTACAGGATACCCTGTCAGTCATACCCTACCTTTCTCCTCTACTCTAGCATTTGGTTCCTTTATAGGCTTCTACCAACGTAGATCTGATCTACTCCACATTAGTGGGTTGGATTAAATCCCTTCCCACCCAGTTTCAGGGCGAAAACCTCTCTTATGGAATGGCCTCTTCACTCCCTGATTTCAGTGTCTGGTGAGATTTAAGAACCTTCCTTTTTGAACTCTGCTTTGACCAGGTCACTGGGTGGTTGCGGTCCAGCTCCATGGAGTATGATCCCCATCTGTAGATTTGCCTGACCTTCCTCCACTGTGAAATAGAGATAAGAGGACCCACCTTTTAGGATTCTCCCCAGGACTGCAGGATGCATTTATACAAAGCCATCAATGTGAGCAAACCCGTGTCTGGTACATATGAGAAGCAGGTAATAGACGTCCCTCTTGTACTTGATTTATCTTCATGTTTCCTTTCAAAAGTAGATCTGATTCATGAGGCCTGAGTTCCTAGCAGAGGAAAATGTATTTAACTCACCCAGGTCTAGATTCTCTCCAGAAGGCTGAGCCTTCTGTCACAGTTAAAGTAATGTGGTTGAGTTAGTCCTGTCTTTTGTTTGACTGTTTTGCTGTGTTTTTACAGGGTCTTGCTATGTAGTTCAAGCTGGTCTTAAATTCACTATGTAGCCCACGCTGACCTTGAACTTGCAGTGATCCTCCTGCCTCAGCCTCCTGAGTGCTGGGATTATAGGCATGTGCTACCATGCCCAGTTTTAACCCTGTATTTTTAAAAGAATTAAATTGTAATCCTAATCTGGGCAAATGGAATTTATCTTTTACTTCCCACTGCTGGAGCATAGATGGGCATTTTAGTGGCCAGTGATTGTGAAATCACCCCAGATACTATGGTGGGATTTTCATTGTGAACATACAGGCCCTACTAGGCCTTTCTTTCCATGAGAGAAATGAGTCATCATTCCCTCTACCCTGGGCATGCTTAGGTAAGCAAAATAATTTACCAGGCTATTTACCCCTCATCCATAGATATCTATTGATAATCTTAGGTTCTTCCTCAACCAAAAATCAGATTAGTCATTCAAACATTGAACATGTTAATTTCAGAGTCTAATTTTATCAAGAAACATGTAATTTTAACTGTTTTATAGATATAAATTAGATACATACTTTTAGGGACAAATCATAGGGAAGCCAACAGCTATTTATCTTGTTAAGTCTGAAACCAACCCAGTAAATTTAAGTATGTTAGGCCTAGACAAAGAATCACTTCTAGAAGACTGAGATGGTTTGAGAATCATGGGAAAGGCTGGGCATGGTGGCGCAGGCCTGTAATCCCAGCACTTGGGAGGCTGAAGTAGGAGGACTGCTGTGAGTTCGAGGTCAGCCTGTGCTACAAAGTGAGTTCGAGGGCCAGCCTGAACTGCATAGTGAAACCCCATCTCAAAAAGGCAATAAAAATAAAAGTAAAAAAACAGAATCATGGAGAGACCAAGTTGGTTATTTAGCCCTAATAGTAGCCAAATTTATTGCACTCTTGTTTAGTGTCAGTTTGGTTGCTTACTGGCTGGTTACATCAATAATTTGGAATCTTAAATTCAGGGTATTGAGAAACTCATTCTATATTATCCATATAATCTGATTACAGTGAAGGAAATAGAGTTAGGGACCTAATTTCTTGTTCTGAGCTTATCAAATGCTTAAGAAGGCTCAGATACAATTTTCACTCAGAGCCATGAAAAAGAGTAGGTCTTGATTCACATATTTAAAATCACTGATTTATAGATAGGCGTAGTGTTCATGCTTATAATCCCAGCACGTGGGAGGCAGAGGAAGGAAGATAGTGAGTTCAAGGTCAGCCTGGGCTACATAGAGAGACTGTCTTAAAAAATAAATAAAAAATTACTGGTTTATGACAGGTATGACAATAAGTACAGCAAGAAGATTAACTTCTCAGTAAATTGCCTGGTTAACTAAAATTCACATAGAAATGACGAATATTACTTCCTACTTTATAAAATATCATTAGATAGATGATAGATAGATGATTGATAAATAGATATTCCTCATTTAACAACCTATCTAGTCAATTACTTTTCCAACTTATGATGAAGGTATGCTGTTTGGATTTACTACCTGCTGCTCAGACTTATGACATGTTCTTTTTTGTACAGTTCTGTACATCTTTTCTTGGTTTTTGTTTTTGTTTTTGTTTTTTTGGTACCAGGGATCAAACTCAGGACCTTGCACTTGCCAGGCAGGCGCTTGTGCCACGGAGCTATATCCCCAGCCCCAGTTCCATACATCTTGATGATACAGCCTCAGTGTCCTTTCTTTGTACAGTACACCTTGTTAATATAGTACAGTAATTTTTGCTGATTTGTGTTTTGTTTTTTGAGACAGGGTCTCACTATGTAGTCCAGATTGGCCTTGAACTTGCTATACAGTTCAGGCTGGCCTCAAACTCATGGCAATCCTTCTGCCTCAGCCTCCCAAGTATTGGGATTACAGGCATGCACCACCATACCCGGAAATTTTTGCTGGTTGTACTGTATGGTACAGTACTGTAGTTTTATGTTCTGTATACCTAACAGTACTGCATGTAAGAGTTAAGCAAATAAAAGCAAAGTCATCAGGTTGGAGTTTCCTTCAAACATTTCTGTGTTCTGAATGTTATAAGGTACATACTATGTGTAATTCCTCATTTGGCAGCCAACTCTTTTAACAA